AAAAAAAAAAAAAAAAAAAAGAAAAAAGAAGGCCATGCCAAACAGAGCCTGTCACTTCTCTTTACCATGATCAGGTCAGGTGGTCTAACAACTCTCTCTCTGGACTTTGTGTTATAGGCCCGCCGGCTCGCCTAAGGCCTGAATATCCCTGGGCCTAGGCCTAAGCTTGGGCCTAATTTTCTGGCCCGTGGGCTTGCCCGAATTTTGACGGGAGCCCACGAGGCTTGACATGGGCCGAGTCGGGCCAAATTTACACACTTAGCAATAAAATGTGCTCTGAAGAGAGACTTCGGGAAGGAAAAACAAAGAGGTCAAGGAATAGATTGAGTTGAGGTGCAGTAGGCAACTAAAGTAAGGCTGTCGTCCGTCAATGAAGTAAAATTATTAAATATTTAACTTAACTCTGATATCATATTATAAAATTTAAGAGAAAGATAAATCTGTATTATATTGAATGTTGTAATAATATACACAAGACTCCTTTATATAAAATGAGAGAAATCTAACTATGGTAATGGATATAATATAGTATGTATGATAGATAAAATATATAGTTACTAAGTTTAACATATACAAATACGGTTGAATTTCTCTCATATTAGGATCTCAAAATAAGAGAATTTGAGGGACTTGTAGAACCCACTGTGGGTCTCGTTTCGAATTCGATGATTCGAAACGTTCATTTTGTAAGGCTCTCAATGGCGCTATTTGGGAAGTTGTCTTTTGGTTTTTTTTTTTTTTGATTTTTTTTTCACTAAAAGACAAATTGGTTACAAAACTAAAAAAAAAATAAATCCAAACAAAATATCGCATCAAACCTTATAATCATTTCACTTTTTTTTTTCACAAATATCACATCCAACTACAAAAAAACCCAACTATCTTTCCAAATACAAAATTTTTTTTCTCTAATAATATCCTACAATTAAAAAAACTTACAAAAAAATCCACTTCCCAAACACCTACAATGTATCCATGAAAAAATTTAGGGCGATCCAATAATCATAACCTTCTCATTTTATTACAGTTGTCTCTAAAAAAATGAATGATTTATTTTAAAAATATATTTGTTATCTATTTTTTCAAAAACAAATGTGATAAAATAAAAAAAAATTATCATTATTGGATTGAACTAATTTTTTTAATAAATAATATACATTGAAAATACTATAAATTAAATAATTCAGATTATCGAAATGAGATCCGTAACAGGTCCTATAAATCTCTCAAATTTGCTCATATTGAGAACATGAAAGAAACCCAAAGCATGAAGATATGTAAAGTGTATATTAAAATTTTAATTTTTTAATATTACTTGTATTTATAAGAAACAGCCTGTAAACGTTAGGAGCCATAAACGTAATCAATGATATTTTGTGATTGTATCTAAACTTTAGGAAATCCCTTCACTTTACACCCGTGTGTAATATATGCACCTCATTATATATTTTTGTGATATATATTATGTATTTTTATGATAAATATTATGTAATTTTTTGATAAAATTATAATAATTTGTGATTTGAAAATAAAATTACATATTTTATAATAATGTTACATATTTTTTCATTGAATCATTTTGTAATAAAAAAATATATAACACTATCACAAAAATATATTGCCTTATTTTTGAATCGCAAATTGTGATAACTCTACTACAAAATTAGATAATATTTGTAACAAAAATATGCGATATATATCATAAAAATATATAATAAAGTGTCTATAATCCACACCCTCAAACTTATGACTGTTCTTCTAATCAGTGAATTTTTATTTTAATTTTTATCAAAAATATAAAATATACAAAATAAAAAATAAAAAATAATCAATATTTATGTACTACTAAAGGTAGATCATCAGAATGGATACATAGACTGCAATTGTCAGGACAATCATACAAATATAGATAGATTGCAATTGAAGCCTCCGTGGGTTGATTTTTTAGTTTTTTTGATTTTTTTAGTTATTTTAGTCGAGTTAAAAAATTTAGTTTGAGAATAATTTTTTGATTTTTTGATTTTTTTTACTTTTTTTTATGAGAAAAGAGTGCAATGATTATGGATTGGATGCGATATTTTATTTATTACAAATAAAATAACATATTTTGTCTTTTGTGGCTAAAATAGCCAAAAAAAAAAAAAAAAAAAAAAAAAAAAAAAAAAAGAAAAAAGAAGGCCATGCCAAACAGAGCCTGTCACTTCTCTTTACCATGATCAGGTCAGGTGGTCTAACAACTCTCTCTCTGGACTTTGTGTTGAAACTCTGATGCTTTGCTTTCTTTCAATTCACAATTGAACCAATAATGATTCTAACATTGAAGAAATTCACCTCTTATGATCAATTAATGATGGTAAAACTTTTTAAAGAAGTCGATTGTATGGGTAAGTATTGGATGTTTTGGATTTGACCTTGGCAAAATTTTTTAAAACCTCATATTTTGATAAGATGGTAAAAAGTGACTTTTTGACTTTTGACCAAACTTTTGACTTTTTTAGACAAATGATTTGGAAAGTTAGTAAAAAATGACTTTTGACTTTTTTTATTAATATTTATTTATAATGTCAAATCATAATGAAATGACCAAAGTATCCCTAGCCAATTGAAAAATTACACATTTTTATCCTTTCATTTTCCATATATGGAGGGTAATTTCGTAATTTTTCTTTTGACTTATAACCAACATCCCAAATCAATTCATGGCAAAAAAAAAAAATCATTTTTTGCGTTTTGACAAAAAGCCAAAAGCCAAAACGACACTTATAACCTTCTTCCCAAATTGAGCCAAAGGGTATAGATTTATGCGTGCCTGCCACTTAGCATTTTTTTGTTTTTAAATTTCTAATTCTACATAAAATCGATGAAAATCATAACATCTCAAGAGAGTTATAAAAATGCGATCTGTCACATGAATTTTAATAAAAAAAATTTAAAGCAAATTACATCCTTGATACTCGCTGGACCAAATTGAATAAAGACCTAAAGTAAAAAACTGCATAAACAGCAACCACCAACTGTACAAAAAGTTAACTGTGCTGCTTATAATTTGGCACAAGTCAATCAGAAAAAATGAAACTTGGCCAAATATTCTTTTCCTAAGCAAAAGCTATGAATTGTTTTTTTCAGTGATATGCTTGATTGAAAAAAATAAAAAATAAAATAAAAATGCTGGGCCCTTTTATGGAGGAGAAAACAATATTTGTACAAAACAGTGCGACATAATGAGTCAATCATTTTAAAACAAAAAGTCATTAAAATGGCTAAATTATATAAATGTCACTGTTACATCATTCTAATAATAGATTTTGTACATATTCTCTGTAGAAATATATTTTCTTTCTAGATTTAATATTGTTTTTCTTTTATTTTACATGTAACCATTCAAGAAAACCATACCCGTCTTATCTCAATGAGCAAATGCAAGTCATAATCAACCCCTTTTATTTCACATCTAGTACTAGCTTCATAGTTTACAAAACAACCGCTACAATGCAATGATACCTTCTCATAACACAAATTTTGTTCAACAACGTTTAAGAAATCCCAATAAAAGTTCTCCTGCCAAACCATATGTTTGACCAGCACTACTGTTATTGAATTCCCTCCTCACAAAATTTCCAAGAGACCAACCTGTTTTAGCAGCAAAAGCATTGCTTATATCTTTAATATCAATTTCCAATCTACTGATTATTATTCTGCTCAGAACATCCCGCGCTTCGCCACTGCTCTGCAATGCTCCTCGCAGTTTTTTGGCAAAGAATTTCTGAGGATTTTGCAATCCCCGGATCACAATTCGGAGGTCATTTCCGAATTTCCCACATTTGTTGGATTTTAGGAACTTGGAGAAGTCATGGCCATAGAGCTGTTTGTAGGCAACAAGTATGGCTTTGATTTGTGAAGTGTCTCTTTCCTTCAAAAGGGACATGATGGTCTTCCAATCAACAGAGTTTCCACTCTCCATGGCTTCATAGAGTGTTTTGGCATCACACATGGCCATGCTCATGTCAACTCTGCCTCCATACTTGCCACTTGATTTCACAACTGTGAGAAGAATCTGTGAAGACCCACCAACCAATATTGTATTAGACAGTACTGAAATGGGACACTTCTAAGTGGAAAAATTATTAGATCCTATCTGAGTATTATGGTAGTTGTTTATGTGGTATCTCAATAAATGAGAAATTGCAATACTATTTAATAAAAGTGACTCAAGAAGTCCATTGGTAAAAAAAAAAATTATTATGTGATTGATTTGGAGCACTATGTGAGTAAGTCCATTCTTTAAACAACGGAAAAAATATATATCTTAAAAAAGTATCAAAAATTTTATCACAAAAATAAAAAAAGAAGTATATAATATAGACTCAATTAAATATATGTGAGTCATTCCAAAATAAGTGTGGTTGACATATATTATTTTCTCATATTTTACTATTGTTGTTCAACAAAACAATATGGGAGGCTGTGAAGCCAATGTGGGCCTGACCATTTTTGTGTTCTTCTGAACATAGAAAGTGGCAGTTCAAACTTTCTACACATTCAAAAAAAAAAAAAAAAATATTAATAATAATAAAAAATAAATAAATAGTGCATAGAATAAAAATAGGAGAAAGGCCATCACTTGGAATAGGATCTTTGTTTATTTGTCTCTTTTTGTACACTGTTGATGAAATATTTAGATTTCTTGAAATGATTTGGACTATAAATATGGTATTTTCTTTTGCTAATGAGAAATCTCACTAAAATAGAAAAACTCTGAATACAATGCAGAGAGATTCAATGTCAGTGGGACAAAAAAAAAATTGATGTGAACAATACAATGCATAATATCATACATACCTCTTTAAAATTGCCATTGGTCTTGTGGGCAATGTCTTCCTCAATCTCAGAATTATAGCGAAAGCTGTAGGCCTTCTTGATTGAATGGAGCTCCGAAGAAGACCGAGTACTCACCACCTCTATTACGGTGCTGAGATTTACTCTCCATCCCCACAGTGCCTCTCTCACTATCTCTGCATCTCTCTCTCTTGTGCTTTGTTAATGCGAAGATACACCACATTCTGTACATATATCAATTCAGAAATTAACCAACCGAAGATGGGTCGTCCTGACCCAACTCCAAAAAAATTATTGGTTGAGCTTGGGCTGAAGGTTAGGACCTGCAGCCTATTCCCTTAGCCCGGCCTGATGGTCTACTCAAGGCCCTGCTCAAAAGCTCGAATTTTTGTTATATTTCTTATTATTTTTTTCATGAATTTTGAATTTAATAAAAGCCCGAATTTAAACTCAAATTAGGTCTAAATGGGCCAAGTGACGACTCAAAGTTCATATTTTTGAGCCTATGGACTGGCCTTAAATTTTAGGCCTGGCCTGTTATTTATGCCTACACAACAAAAATAAATTATAGAAACCAATCACGTTATTCACGTAAAATTTGGGGCTCTGTGAATGTCAGTGCTTTATTTATGTGTATCTAGTCGTCCTGTTTTACAGAACACCATGTTGCGATTGACACTACAAAGTTGTAGCACATTTGCTTACAGCAAAGGCATCATTATTTCGAGCGTTAGATAGAAGATGGAGAAGATCTTGGTTGTAGAGAGCAGTGAATGCTTGGCGAACGAGCTTAAGTTCTTGCGAGTCGCGACATGTGACAAGCTCTACAAGCTTTTGTCTGTTGGCTGCTGCACCGTTATTGCCTGTAAATGTAGGCATCATGCACAAAGCTATCTATATCAAAGCTACAAAAGTAGATGTTTCATATTTCCAACCAAAAGCAGAAGCAAAAAAAATAAAAAATAAAAAAAAAATACCAGAGAAGCAAGAGTTGAGGTATTGGCAGTCCAATTCATACTTCCGAGAGGCTCTCATGGAACTCTCCATCTCTGGAAGAGAATTTTTCAAGAGAGAACCACGAGTGTTGCATGTAAATAAAAGGTCTAGTCACCACATTTTATAGGGTCAAAATTTCTATTTTGAATGTATTTTCAGTTACACAATTTTATTTAAAAATTTTAATGTTTTGAGATTCTCACTGTATTACAAAAATTTTAGAATAGAAGACTCGGACGGTGGAAATGAGATTGTAAGTCCCAATCTCAATCTCAATCTCAATCTCAAATCTAAGGAATATCTAATACTTTATACAAAGAAGCCAGTGAGAGAGTGAGGGAAAAGCATTAACATTCCAATTTCTAAGTGAAAGAACAAGAGAACATATGCTAGCCATTAACATGTACACATGTGCTGGCTTCAATGTCAACCGTACAATTCCTTTTCCTTAGACTCGTGAAAATGTTGCAATGTGCACCGTATTTAATATTACACAAAATTATATAAATTAAACATAAATTCGCATAAATTTATAAAAATTTATGTGATTACGTAAATTTATATTTAATTTATGTATTTTTATAAGATCACTTATATAAATATATGAAAACTTGCATAATTTTGTATAAGGTTACATACGGTGTACATTGCGCACTAAATTTTTTTTCTAGACTGCTCTCTACCAACTCTTTGTTTAGTTTATTGGAATAAAACAAAATAATTATTTTTTGTCATTATGAAATTACTGTTCTCATACAATGATAACTCGGTTAGTAATATGTTTTTCAATTTTTTTTAATAAATCAAATATAAAAGTAAATATTATGATAAAATAATTATTATAATTTATTTTATTCTAATAAACTAAACAGTGCATAATTGTGTGAGTTTGAGGGCTTCTTTTTCTCGCAAAGAAGAGATCAAAAAAAAAAAAAAAAAAAAAAAAAAAAGTGGAAAGCAAAATTGACGACTCTGGTGGGCGTCAAACAATCTTAGTGGGAGGTGGAAAAAATGGATGAAGTGATTTTGCTTTGAAAGTCAATTCTTGGGGAAGAAAGTCTTTAAAAATCCCATTATTAAGGCTTTAGATGCTCGTGGTGGGTAACATTTATGGCAAGATTGCAGCCGCACAAGACATTTCATTGTGGGCCCTATTAAAATTTTAAAAATTTAAGAATTATTTGAGAAGTCCCTTTTATGAAAAAATTATGAAGTATAAATTGAATTTGAAACGATGTAATTTAAATAATTATGACCTAAATAAGATAATGTGTTAAAATAATATGTGCTATTTTAACATATACCAAACAACCACTTAACATAAATAATGACTATTATTTGTTAAAAATATTATGAATTCTCCCTTCACATTTTAAAAATTAATAATATTTTGTGTGCTAATAAAGTTACTAAATAAATTCAACACTATTCACATGAGAGTGATACCTCTATTTATACCTATATGTATGTGAATGATGTGTGGTTTCTTAAGTAGTTTTGCTGGGAATTAGGATCCTTTCCTTGCAGCTTCCGTTCTTGCGTCCGTCCTTGCAAGTCTTCGGATCTACTTTTAGATCTAATTTTGATAATTCAAACCGTCATATTTTATGATTTATTCTGTATATCATACCTGTAAAAAATCAAGTTGATCGGATATCAGAAAGTATGTGTTCGAAAAATTGAACTAAAAACTATTTTTTAAATAATTTAATAAACAGTTTTCCGAACACATACTTTCTGATATCCGGTCAACTTGATTTTTTACAGGTATGATATACTGAATAAATTATAAAATATGAACGGTTCAGATTATCAAAATTGGGCCTAAAAGTAGGCCCGAAGGCCTGCAAGGACGGATACAAGGACGGAGCTGCAAGGAGAGACTCTTGACTCGTTTTGCTGGTGTCTCTAGTAATGTTATTTGAAAATTACAAATACTTTATAGTTATTTTTTATTTTATTATTATTTTTTTTTGCAATTAATTTAATAGAGGAAAAAAAAATTCAAATACCTTCTAATATCAAAATAAAATTAACATGTCACCCGTACTATACACGAGATAAAATAATATATTATTTATTAAAAATATGATAGTTATATTTAATTTTTGTATTTTGTCTCTCATAAATAAAATTTTACATATAAGTTTAAGAGTTTTGTTTCAAATGTTCCTTTATTATAATATATAGTATAGATAGATTAAAATTGTTGTATTAACAATTAACAATTAAAATTATGCTTTGTTATAAAAAATGACATAGTTTTAATTACTTCACTATTTTAGAATAAAAATATATGAATTTTAAAAAATTGTTATATTGATTTTTGAAAGGAAAATAATTAAAGAAATTTTAAAAATTTAATGAGTAAGAAAGAAATGTAATTTAAAATATTAAAAAAAAAGTTAAAAAAGGAATCTTTAAAAAGATGTGATCACAATTAAAACTAATACCATATTTATTAATAAGTATAATTTTATTTGGATATCTATTTATACTTTAACATGCTTATTTAAAATAAAAATAAAAATAAATAAAAACATTAATAATTTTGAGTTTTACAAAAATATTAACTTCTGGAAGGAATATATTCGAATTTTCTTTTACAAAAATTGAATATTAGTCATTGAATAAATCTTATAAGATTTAAAATAAATTTATAATAGGAAAAAATTAATGATATTGCAAGATATGCATTTTAACAATTTTAAATTTAAAAAAAAAAATAGATTATGATTTTGAACTTCAATTATCGTACAACATTTTTATTTATATAATAATATAAATAAGGATAGGTAATAGATATATTAAAAATAATTATAAATATAGCTATATTTTAAATGATATGGTTTTGTATAGCTATATTTTAAATTCCAAATTTTATTTTTTAACTTCCTATATAAAAAGATTCAAATTTTTTTTAATTACATATGATTTTTTTCTAAAAACATATGAACTCACAGTGAAATAGAGAGAGAAGTATCATAAAGGAAGAGAGGAGCTGCACATATTAAAGATAAATAATTGACTAACACCTTTAATAGTTTTGAAAAAAATTGATTAAAATTAATATTTTCTTTTTATTTGAAAAGCTATTATATGCCTTTGAAGTAATGCTTCGCACTAACTATCAATTAACACATATCATGATATCAAAAAAATATTAAAAGTAAATTTCTTTTAAAAAAATAATAAAATCAATACAAAAAACTTATTAAGAATGATTTTGTTTGAATTTTTATCTATCACTTTATAATGAGTGACATGCTTTTTATTATACAAATGACCCTATTACGCTATTTTAGTATAAAAATTCTAGTAAAACAATATTAACCAACAAAAAATAGATAATCGTTGATAGAGGGGAGGGAGAAATGACACACAAAGTATGAAATAAAAAAATAAAAAAATGGTCGTTGATAAAAAAAGAAGAAGAAAAAATGATATATATACCTAAAGGATAAAATAGTCTGTTTAAAGAATACAATAGATTAAATATAAATTAACCTCTAAATTGTTTCATAAAAGAAAGTTAAAAAACAATGAGTTTTATCGTTCCATGAATGTAATATTTATAGGGTGAGGAAGATATGAATGACTTAGAAAAATTATAATGTATAATGGTTAGGATTTTTGAATAGAAGAAAGAATTGGTTAGAGAAAGAGTGCACAAGAACACTTTTTTTCATCTTTCATTTTCTAAATTATAAATCATAGAACCATTATAAATAATAATAAATTATGAGATTTAAAAAATATATATATACATATATAGCATAGATATGCTTAAGGCTATGTTTGGCATAAAGGTTTGGGTTGGGTTGGATTGGGTTGGGTTGGGTTGGAGCAATTTTAGTCACAAAAAGATAAAATAGACTTTTTGGCCCGATAAGACAAAATGTCACATTTAAACCATATTCATTTCATTTTTTCTCTCACAAAAGTCAAAAAAGTCAAAAAGCTTATCCTAAACGAGATTTTTTAGCATCAGGCTAAAAAAATCAAAAAATCAACCCACATCCTAAACGAAAGCTAAATTTTTATTTGGGAATAAAATTGCATTTAATTATGAAATAGAGAAAATTTAGGTATAAAGTTTAATTTTTATTTTATGCTATGCTTAATTTTAGGTTTATATAGATCAAACCAGTTGTGAAAGATATTAATAGTATACATTTTATAGGAGGTGAGAAAGTTTCATTTTCATTATATTTATTTTAGGAGAGGAGATTGTATGAGATTTATATTCCTTTTAAATAAAGGCTTGATTTATTTTGAGAGAGAAAGGGGGTTGAGAATTGTGTACTTTTTTCTTTCTTTTTTTCCGGCAATATATTTGTATTAAATAATTTTGAAAGTTAATATTTATGTCCTCGGAATAGCCAATAGATGTTTTAATTTTTTTTTATAAAAATAAAAAATTCAAAAAATTAGATTTAAAGTTTTGAAACATTTAGGGTCTCTAAGATGAAAAGTCACTTTGATATAATATATAGCATAGATAGATTGATATATTATGAGATTTAGGAAAGAGATAAATATTAGGAGAGGTTTTAAGAACTTGTAATTCAATTATTTTTTTAAAATCTATAGTTACTTTGTTAGCCAATAGTATTATTTTTAAATATTTTTAAAGTTACAAAAATTAGCAATTTTAGTTTTTATTATTATCTATAGTTACTTTGTTAGTCAATAATACTATTTTTAAATATTTTTAAAATTACAAAAATTAGCAATTGTAGTTTCACATTCTTTTCAATCTATATTTTTAAAAAATAAATAAATATAATTACTTTGTTATGAGATGAGATTTGTGTTTTTTTTTAATGTATAATATTTTTTTAATGTGTAGTTACTTTGTTATGAGATGAGATTTAGGAAAGAGAAATATTAGAGGGGCGAGATTTTAGAAACTTGTAATTCAAAATTTTAGGTAGTTTTTTGTTTTGTTTTGTTTTGTTTTTTGTTTTTTTTTAATCTATAATTAATTTGTTAGCCAATAGAATTATTTTTAAAATCACAAAAATTAACAATTGTGAAACTTGACTTTG